AAAAATTAGAATAGGGTTTGGGGTTCCTTTAAAGGGTTCCTTCAAAGGCTTCTATAATAAGGGCTACTATAAGGGTTTAGGTTTAGGGTTTAGGGCCCTTAGTAACAAGAATAAGGTTTGGTGGTATATTATACTATAACTATAAATAAGGAATCCCCCAAAAACCCTCTTCTAATCATTAAGGCCCCTATATGAAGGATTCTAGCGGGGTTTTATGTACAAGGGAAGCAAAGGAAGGTGCCATTTTTGGTGTGGAAGTTTGACTTTGACTGCGTTAGGGTAACGACAAGTTAGGACCAGTGCTCCGGCCCTGACCGATCAGAGGGCAGGGAAGGTGTTTGGGCACACTGTTCTCGCGAACGACAACAAACTGACAACGACGCACCTCGCGTCGAGTTACCCGACCATCAGCACCCTGGAGCCTAAACCCTAAACTGCCTGATCCATGAAATTCACAGGCTGATCAACGATAGCTTTAACATAACCGACGAAGCAGAGAGGATCAGGATGAACAAAGGCGAAATGATCCCCTACTTAGAAGTTCAGGGGCAGTTCGAAGTGGGGTTATAAGTCCCTTAATGATGTTATAACTACAGTTTCCCTACATTACAAACCCACTTACGACTTACAACTTCGCATGGCTTGGCATTGTTAGTTGGCATGACTTGCATGGTTGGTTCGCCTGGCTCGCATGGCTGGTCGGTTGGCCGCACGCCGCCGTGGTTCTATGCTCCAACTCCGACGACAGCGGCATCGACGAGCTGCGGCGGAACTCCTGCACGCACTGCCTACAGTCCAGCAAAAGCATGAACCTTTAAGTACCCTAAACCCCATTAGGAGGGCCACCCGAACCCGAAACCCGAAACCCTCAACCTGCCTCCAAGCACATGTCTGCCTCGTTTCCGCTGGCATTCCCGGCCGCGCAGCCACCATATTTCGGGTTTCGGGTTTAGGGGCTTCGGGTTTAACCCTACACCCCTGAACCCTAAACCTTAGGGTTTAGGGTTCCGATGCTGATTTTTGGCTTGTCGGGGGGCCCTTGCCCGACATTCCACGACCTGGGCCAGCGCGTCGTCCCGTGCTTCTGCTATCCGTGATGAGCGTGGCGCTGGGAGATGAGGTGGTCCAGTTTAGGCTTTAGGGTTCAGTTAAACCCTAAACCCAAAACTCTAAACCCTAAACCCTATACCCTAAACCCTGTACCCTAAACCCTAAACTGTAAACCCTAAAGCCTGCCCTGACAACACCTTTACAGAACTATAAACTTTATATGGCAGCTTCTTAAACCTTCAAATACTGTATCTCATTAAAGTCCCCAAACCCTAAACCGTAAGCCGTAAACCCCTAAACCCTCAACCTTTCAACCCCTAAACCCTTAAACTAAAGCCTAAGTAGGCCCCCCCTAGAGATACCTTACACCTCTCAACCCTAAACCCTAAACCCCTAAACCCTAAACCCTAAACCCTAAACCCTAAACCCTAAACCCTAAACCCTAAACCCCTAAACCGGCCCAAAACTCTCCAGGATCTGTTTGCTCTTCCACCTGGCCGTGGGCTCCTCCTTGGAGCTTGTTGACAGAGGCTCCCCCTATTGCGCGCCTAAATTCGCTTTAGAGGGTTTCGGGCTTTAGGAGAGAGGGTTCAGGGTTTAGGGCTTTAGGATAGAGGGTTCAGGGTTTAGGGCGATAGAGGGTTCAGGGTTGAGGGCTTCAGCATAGAGGGTTCAGGGTTTAGGGCTTTAGGATAGAGGGTTCAGGGTTTAGGGTTTAGGGTTCAGGGTTTAGGGTTCAGGATCTAGGGTTTAGGCTTATGGGTTCAGGATTTCTGGTTTAGGTTTGAGGGTTTAGGGTTCAAGCCTCGCTTGAAGGATCAGGGGACTTGGTAAGTGCTGCAACAAGCAAGGCAACCATAGCCCCAATAACGAATGTAAACCCTAACCCTAAGCCCTGTAAGCCCTAAACCCTCAACTGTTGGCCCTATTTACCACTAAGTCCCGATCCTTGAAGTAAGCCCCAAACCCCGTGCTCTGCATTGCGAGCCCCGACATGTAGACTCATAGCCCCACACTTGGAGGATCATGGGTACTCCTAAGCGGGTTCATGAGTAGGGGAAGTTTTGTTCTAGCCTACATGAAGGGACTTATAACCCCACCTATAAGTACCCATGAACCTCTAAACCCTAAACCCTAAACCAATGAACCTCGCTTCAAGTAAAAGCTCCACCGATCGCTAGGTCGGATTTCTGAGGTTTGCTGCGGGAGCTTGTAGGACTTAGGCTTTGGGCTTCGGGTTTCTGGTTTAGGGTTTCGGGTTAGGGTGTGGGGTTTAGGGTTTAGGGTTAGGACTTTGGCTTCGGGTTTAGAGTTTAGGGGTTTAGGGTTTAGGGTTTAGGGTTTAGAGTTTAGGGTTTAGGGGCTTTGAGTGCAGAGTGCATAGCCTGAGCTGGCGAGTTTAGCACTGCAGATGTCGGGGGTCTAAGCCCTAAACCCTAAACCCTAAACCCTAAATCCTAAACCCTAAACCCTAAACCCTAAACCCTGCACCCTGAACCCTAAACCCGCACCCCAAGCCCAAAGCCCTAAACCCTAAGTCCCCCAACCGGGAGAAGGGTAACTTAAGCTTAGTTCCTTGACTAGAACCCAGTAGAACCCCAAAGCCCGAAACCTCTGAAGACTACAGCCCGAAAACCGTGTAAGGAGAGAGTCAACTTCAGGACAAGATGCCCAGTTCTTGCGCAGTTTCTTTGTTGATGGGTCGAGACCCTAAACGCTAAATACCAAATCCCATGGGTTGGCTTTCGCTCAGGTGTGGCTCAGGGTAAGGGTTAGAGTTTTAGCACGGAGCGCCACGCTTGCTCGCTCCGCCGCTGCGGCTTCAGGCAACATAGTAGGGTTTAGGAGGTAGGGTTTAGTGTGTGAGGTTTAGGATAAAGTGCCATTTCTTTTGCTGGTGCGGGTGTGTCTCCGACACTTCTGCAGCAGCTACCCTAAACCCAAGCCGTAAGTCCTTTAGTATTATGTTCGGTTTCTGAAAAGTAGTGAAAAGCCGAGTAGAAGACGCCACACCCTAAATTGAAACCCTAAACCCTAAGCCTAAACCCTAAACCCTAAATTGAAGACCCTTAACACCCCCAAACCCCAAATCCAAGCGTACACTACCTCCTGCAGCCGCACACCCTTCTCCCTAAACCCCAAGCCCTGCACTGAACTTTGAGTTGCAGTCTTGCTTAATAGGGTTAGGTTTAGGGTTTAGGGTTTAGGGTTTAGGGTTTAGGGCTTAGGGCTAAGGTTTTAATGCGAGGATGCCTGAAGGCATCGTACCTGCCACGAATGTGGATGGCGTCATCGAAACTTTGCTTGCCTTGGTCGAGGAGTCGGCAGAGGCGAAAAATCCGACACCCGGCGGCTTTTAAGCAGACGGTAGGGGTTCCTTCAAGGGTTCCTTCCAAGGTTCTTTTAAGCTTTCCTACAAGGGTTTCCATCACGGTTTATTGCGTACATCTGAGTACAAGTACTACTTTCTGGCCCTAAACTCTACACTCTAAACCCTAAACCCTAAACCCCTGAGCCCCTAAACCCCTAAACTCTATGCCTATAAACCCTAAACCCTAAACCCCTAAACTCTATGCCTATAAACCCTAAACCCTAAACCCCAGTATCCCAACATAAGACTCAAGTTTACAGTCACCCAGGTGCCTCAGGAGCCCTAGATGCGGTTCGAAAAAGCCTAAAGTGCAGGGTTTTGGGGTTTTAGTGATTAGGGTTTAGGATTCAGGGTTTAGGGTTTAGGGGTTTAGGGTTCAGGCTTAGGGTATCCCAAGAAAAGGCGCGCCTGGACCTAAAAGGTCGTGCCGGCGTGTCTGGCGTCAGCGATCCCTGAATCCCTGACCACCCACATCTCAACCTTATCGGGTTTAGGGCTTCCTTTCAATTTGTGTATTGCCGGGGGTTCTGCATCTGGAAGGTTTGTCCGTGGGTTCTGGCTGTCTGGCTGGTCCTGTGAGTTTTGAGTCCTTAAACCCTATACCCTAAACCCTACTTCGTTGTTTGTCCACAGTGGAGAGGCGGGGGCAGCAGGGCAGAGCAGGGCAGGACGAAACCACCACAAGCCAGAAGTCATGTCGGAGGCCACCGGGTTTAGGGTTTAGGGTTTGGGGTTTAGGGTTTTAGGGTTTAGGGTTTAGGGTACCGGCTACTCCTGGCCGTCGTAAAAATCGTCCAATCTGCCTGCGCATGATTCTTTCCGAGAAGCCTTGTCGGAGGTCCGCCCCAGCTGCCAGCACCTTTTCCACGCAGGGGTCGAACGGGCTTCTCAAAGGCCTTTTCGATGCGGCATTGCGAGGTTTTGTAATGGGGTTATCGGCCTGCTGGCACAATTGGGGCCAAGTGCCATGTGTGCGGGCCATCCTCACCGGATGCCCGCGTCAGGCAGAAACTGGCTCCTCGGGCTCATCCGCCGCTGGTGCCCGCAGTATCACTCGCCGCTGGCCTGCCCAGCGCCCGTGGCTCGCTCCAGTTTCGGGGTTTAGGGGGTTGGGGTCTATAGGGTTTACCATAAACCCTAAACCAGTGAAGAGTTTGGGATTCTGGGTTAGTTTGAGGTTTGGGACGCAAAGGGCACAAGGAGGCCCAAGGATCACTGCATTAGCACGTGTTTTTAATTAAGATAATTCTATGGTTTTACCATACCACGGTTCACTTCCACGGAAGGCTGGGTACGTGTGACCTGAGTACTTAAATCCCTTGATCCTTGCAGCATGATTCTTGAGACTAATGTGCAGCCCCATTTGGATCTTCTAGAGGATTTGTATAGGGCCATTTGTCAGCTTCGGGTTGCGGGCTTTACGCAAGGCAGTAAAGCCCGAAACTTTACCCAGTTCCAAGTAAACAGAGGCTTTGCTCCAAACCGCGAACCCTTAGGGCGAGCCGCAACGCTTCCAGTGGTACGATAGTCGTCCATCGTTTTGCACGGCGGGTCGAAGGACAGCAACCTGATGCACAAGATGCAGCCGACACCCAGCCTGGTGGGCTGCCACCCAGTCAACAAAGACGGCTGTGGAGTTTCGGCAGTGATTTGCCGCGAGTCGATCGACGAGATCATAGATGTGGGCTATGTCAGCGACAAGTTCGAGCTTGAAAGCAGAGCGTAGTCTCCTCAAGAATCTTTGGAAACGCTTTCTTACGACTGCTGCAACGAGAGTAGACGGCGTGCAAGCTGACCTTCCTGTTCTGGGGTAAACAGGTCCGCAGAAAATCCAAAATCCCTTTCTTCGCCACATAAGCCCAGAGACTCCAAAATCCCGTTCTTCATCGAGGATTACTCCTTAAATTCGAATTACAAGTTCTAGAACATTCCTTTTTAAGGGGTATTCGTTGATGAACAAGTAGCAAGGTAACCGGGATGTGAATCTGAGGGGGTTCAGGGCGCGAGCCTGGTTCCCTCAACTTAGACGCCGTTGCTTAGGAACGGCTTGTTCTACGCCCTGTACACGCAGGCACGTGGGGGGAAGGGGCATCGGGACTGGTTTCAAAAGGTTGATCTGTCGACCCTCAACCAACTGAGCCCGAAAATCCTACGTTCTTTGCCGGGTCCCGTATCTTTAAGGGTCAATCCTAAACCGTATACCTAACTCTAAACCCTTAAACCATAAACCTTAAACCCTAAACCCGAAATCCTAAACCCCAAACCCTATATTCTGAACCTTAAACCCTAAACTTTAGGGATTAGGGCTTGGGACGTAGAGTTCTGCGTTGCATTGTGCTGTGTCGGTGCAGGTCACCCGCGCCGTCAAGGAAGGTCTCCAGGCCTGCTTCTACATGTTCAGGGTTTAGGGTTTAGGGCTTTGGGTTTAGGGTTTAGGGTTTAGGGTTTAGTGTTTAGGGTTTAGGGTTTAGGGTTCAGGGTTTAGGGCTTATGGTGTGGGTTTGGAGTGGTGACGCCATGGTTCCAGTTGTAATTTCGAGGTCGGAATAAGCCGGTAATATCGATGATTGCGCCCCTTTCCATAATGCCATTATACGCCACCCCAAACCCCAAACACTCATCTAATTGTTAAGGTCCCTGTGGTATTTGATTTGGGGTTCTATAGGGTGCTAGTAAGTTCATTGCACATGCTGGCCTCTGCACAAAAGATCTACAAAGTATGATCTTCTTTCCTAGGGAGCGCTATACTCGCTCTTACATGGGCTCGATGTCGGCCTTACCTTTCAAGAAACCACAAGCCACAAATCCCAAAGCCTGACCCTAAATCCTGACACCCTAAACCCACAGGAAGAGTTAATCCTCAAAGGAATCCTTGAAGCAAGCTGCAAACCAATCCTCAGAGAGACCTTTTCGGAGCCGTTAAAAAGGCAAAGGAGCTCTGAAATTCACGCTTCAAGGAGCCCCTCAACAAACTGTTGGAGGAAACCAAAATAGCTGTAGAACCTTCGATCAGAGCCTTCAGAGGAAGTTTGGGACGCTTTGAGGTCGAAAAGAATCAAGAGTCCTCACCACGAAGGTCTTCGAATTTAGGATTCCATGTCTCTGTAAAGGGTTCTCTAAGGGCTTGG